GAGACTTCGGCTGTCAGCGGCATTGCGAAGTGTCGGGTCGACAACAAAAACAAACTCGTCAGCCAAAAGCTGCAAAAACACTGCAATGGTTTGCATACAAAAAGCCCTGCCAAGGCTAGAAAATGCCGGCGAGCTGCTATATATTCAAGAGAAAAGACTTTCTGTTTAAATGCAAACACAACCAGGTCCATGGCATTGAACGATGCATGCACATGTCCAAACATGATCAAGCTGCATGCTGTTAACATTCATATATATATATATATATATACACATAACTGCGCATAGCATACATACACATGTGACATAGCATGTTTACTGTATCTCCGCTATCTGTGCTAGTTTGGAGATAGCTAACTCACGGAAGTCCTAGCATAACCATGCTACCCATGTATCCTACATAGTCTTCAAATAATAGTTGCTTCAATACAACTACTAATTACTACAGTGGAACTATTGTAGATGTAGGGCTTATTAAGTCCATTAAACATGACATAGCGAAGTTACCAACCATGGCTATGGCATTCCTTCAACTCTGCTACTCAAGTACTACACAACGGATCGTCGAAGTAGTGCTAGTTCCTACTTTCTGTGCCCTGCGCTGCTCCAGCGTTTCCCGGCTGATGCGGCGCAGCTGCAGGCCAGCCTTAGCGCGCCGCATGCGTCATCGCCCAACTCAGCGATGCCGGGCGGCGGCGGGCCAGCTTTGGCGGCCATCACCCGTGTCTTGCCGAGGTTGGACCCGATGCCGCAATGGTATGCAACGGCTTGGGTGGCTGTGTCCAAGGCCGCGCGCGCTCGGCTCGGGGCAGTGACGATATACAAGTCGTCCAGAAAAGCCATCAAGGTGTCCCCGTCTTGCAGGCCGGAGGCCGCGCGCTGCAGGGCGTCGTGCTGCCCCAACGCGTACAGCGCTGGGGCGAGCGGGTCGCCCTGCTCGCAGCCCTCGCCTTGCCTGACCTCCCTGTGCCTGCCGGCATTGTCCCACCAGAGTCTGCGGATGGGCGGCCGTAAAACATGCGGGTGAAAGGGAGGAGCTCCGGGGCCACCTCGCGCAGCTTGGACAAGAAAGCTGCCCTCGACATGGAGTCGTAGGCGCTGCGACCGTCCAGCGAGACTAGGACCGCATCGCTGCGCTGGGCGAGTGCGACCCGCGCGTGAGCTGCCAGTGCATCCGTGCCCGCCCGCGCTTGTAGTGCGAACTGGTACGGGCGCGTGGCTTCGTCAAACACCGTTGCCCATTGCTTGGCGAGCGTGCGGGACACGAGGCGGCGAAAGGCGTCGCCTGTGGCAATGCCCCGCACTCCGCCGTCGGGCTTGCGCAAGGCCGTCAAGCGAGCCATGGCTAGCGCGGTCTGGATCTCTGGCGGGACGCTAGCGCGCGCGAGCAGGGTGGCGGCATCAGCGAGCAACTCCAAGGCTTCCGCATCCTGGAGCAGAAGCTATACAGGTGTTCCGCCCGCATGCCCGACAAGCCCGCGGCTCCCCCGCGCTTTGCCTCGCGTAGTCTGTCGAGGACCTTCTCAAAGTCCAGTTGAGTGGGGATGATCTTGCTACTTTCATCCACAACTGGGAGTCCGTGATAGCAGGGCTCAATCACCAACCCGAGGAAACCACTTTGAGAGATATCCTCCTACGTCAGCTCCGTTGCTCTAGCAAACTCAAGTTTGAACTGGATGTTTACGACCGTGCGAAAGAAGGCACTGAAAAGCGTACCTATGACTATCTCGTGACGTGTGTCAAAGATCTTTTGGCCAGAGACAGGACTAGGAACAACAGAAAAGCTATCGCTAAGGCCCATGGCGCCAAGTTCGGAGCACCAGCGCCCTCTGGAACACCGAACACACCCCGCGGTAGGAGCCAGGACAAACCTTGCTACGCGTTTCAGCGTGGAAAGTGCCCTAGAGGTGACAGATGCCCGTACAAGCATGTGAAAGCCGAACAGAGCAGGGGTAGGACACCCCCTACTATCCCAAAGGAACGTGTAAGAACGGGAAGAACTGCCCTTTCATGCACAAGGACGCTAGCCCATCTGTTCCGGCCAATGGGAGGCAAAGGAGGCAATGCGCGATCCCCGTCAGGAAAGCGCAGGCGGCCCAGCAGAAAGAAGTCTAAGAGTCAGGAGAAGAAGGCTACATGCTGCATTTCCCCGCTAGCCACCCTCACGGGTGAGCCTAGCGGCAACTCCAAGGCTTCTTATGCTCTAGCCGCTCGCAAGAGCGCGCCCGTCCAGCCTCGAACTAAGAAAGTTCAGTTCCTGAGACCAGAGATCATTGACATCCCGCTTGAAGGTGAGGGCTGGAAGTTCGTCTTAGAAAAGCGTAAGTACGACTTCAAGGTGAAATCAGCAGACCAATGCCCTCCCTCTGACCCCGAGGACACAGCATGTGCCCTTTGCAACGCGCTCTACCTGGAGTCAGCGGTCAAGGGCATGGGGCTCGGAGTCAGAGTCAAATGCAACTACAGGTGTCATGGTAGAGAGGGATTCTGCGCTAAGTGCAAAGAAGCCGTCCCCTTGCCCTCTTATGCTGCAGCTGCGGTGACTGGTGAAAACCTTGAAATCATCGCTGACACCGGTAGCGAAGAAGACTTAATCAGCCACTCTGATCTAGAGGCCCACTTCAAGGGCAAGGCTAAGAAGGTTGCATCCAACCCAGTGAGCTTGATCACTGCTAACGGACCCGTAGACGCTGAAACAAAACACGAGGTCTAACGTAGAGTCACTGAGGAATCCTTTGCAATTCGTCGAGCTCCCCAATACACCTGCAGTTTGCTCTGTAGGAAAGAAGTGCATGGAACAGGGATTCTCATTTCACTGGCCGGCGGGCGAGGCGCCGTGTTTCATATGCCCAGATGGTCAGAAAGTGCTATGCCAACTCCGTCCGTGGCAACGTCCCGGTATTTGGCGACCGAGGACCGCTAGTCGCATGCCCTGCAGCAACATCCACTGTTGAGGATTGCAGCAAGGTCGCACCGACTTCGATCAATCCCAAGTCGGGTTTTCGGGAGATAGCTGCCCGCGAGGGCATGCCGCACCAGCACGAAGGGAGCAGGAAGAACAAGAAGAAGGTTCAGCTGGCGCGGCAGAAGGACAAGAGGCCATTGAAAAGATGGCAAATTCGATTCCGCCCATTCCAGGGGTGGAGCCGAGACAACTGTTAAAGGCAGGTTGGACGGTCATTGATGGCAGCCCCGCTGCTAAAGTGGCCCACTTTCCAAAGACTTTTCGGACGCCCGCTCCTAAGTTCCCAAGGTATAGAATCCGGACTACTTGGGGATTCAAGGACGATGCGTGGTCTTTGTTGGAGGATTCAGTCAACATTGACGAAGTGGACGGTATCTATGGGGAAGTACCTGAAGGAACAATTGCGAGCATTACTTTGTTTGCTTTGCCTGAAGGTGAGGTCGAAGCTCAAGCCGCACCACATGCGCGAAAATCAGGCGGATCTTCAACCGTCCATAGTAAAGCGTTCGGTGATCACATCACGGTGGACCACATCGTAACGGACGACGCCAAGGACTACGGTTTCCAGGAGGAGACTGTCGCTCACGTCGTGAAGGATGTATACTCCAAGTTTAGGTATGTATATCCTTCTAAGACAAAGTCTGGTGAGCAGTGCTACGAAGATATGTTGCACTTCTTGGTGTCGATGACGAAGTCAAGGTTATCTACTCCGATAACGCATTGGAGTTTGACTTCGCAGCTAGGCAGCTTCGCGCGCGTCACAATACCTCTAGGGCGTATGTGAACGAGAACAAAGCCGTCATCGATCGCGAAATTCGAACCATCCTCGAAGGAACGAGAGCCAATCTGGTGCAATCAGGCTTGCCTG